TTTCCATGGATATATTATTGTCCACCCAAATAATTTGTGTGCTAGGAGATATGACCCTCCAAAGTAGACCCTCGAAAAAGGCTTCCCTTGGAAATTTCGGATTTTGATACGGTTGCTCTAAAATTTGGGTTAGACCCATTTCCCACTCAATTTGACCCCCTAAACAAGAATATGAAGTCAGATTTTCGAAAAACGAAATGGATCTTTTTATATACAGCTAAACAAGTTTCCGGTAACTTTCGAAGCACATTTTTAAGAACTTTTGGGTCAAATTCAAATATAATCATTTCATTAAGTTCTCGACTCCAAACTCACATGTGAGGCTCTAGTTTCACTCTATCATTTTCCGGGTCGTTACAAAAATCAATTGATTTTATAAGCAATGAGCCAGTGTCGGCATCCCTTTTTAAGGTTTTCCCTATTTCCTTGGCCTTCCCTCAAACTTTAGTCTTCATCATACTTTGGATCTTTAGTCATTAAAGTTGTCATGATTAAATTGTCGAATTTAATGGTGGTTCACTTGACGAAAATGAAGGTGCAAGCTAGAGATAGTTCATATGATTTATGACATGATAGGATACTTTTTATCAGAAAGTGGGTGATTAGATCTTCAGAAAATAATTGCTAAGTATCATATTTTTTATTGTAATGAAACCTGAACGTTTTGCCTAGGTATCATGAAAGTGGAGCATCTAAAAGTATTCTTGATACTATAGTAGAGCTTTAGTATTATAGTATACAGACAAAGAGTATATATTGAACATCAATGAGTTGCGTACACTTACTATTTTACCAGTAAGTTATTTGTCCATATTTTTTCATACTTTTAAGTTGACATTCAATTTTTCCATGTCTTATATTTAACAATAACAAATTCACTCATTCTTGAAAAATAAATGTATAGTGTGTGTTTGTATTTTGTGAGATTTCATATCGATGAATTGTCTAGAATTTCCTATTCTAGATACATTGTGACAAGGAAGAATGGGGTGAGCTAAACGAAGAAATAATCTCCAATACTTCTGTCATACTTCTTTAAAAAAGAAGAAGATAGAGAAACTAATCACAAAACTGTAGTTGCGTTACATTTGTAAACCTGCAATTATATCTATATAATACATGGATTACAATTTTTATTTTTATTTTGAAAGTAGCTGATAAATAGATGACCCTTCATGGATATGAAAAATTTTCGTTACAACAATGTCATGTAAACAGTATGAAGCTCTTATAGATGTAAAGAACGTGTCATTTTGTAACCAAGTGACATCATTAAATTTTGCACAGCTTAAAGAATTTTGTTGTTAAATGCCTGTAAACAATAAGATTCTAGATTTTTGTACATTGTGAGAGTTAAATATTGCAAAGATGAAGTGTAAACATCATGAAGTTTATGAAGTATAGTTGTGGCAATATGCAGAAACATGACACTATCAAAAGAAGAATGGTACTTGCTTGTGCTAGGTAAAATTTGTTGGAGTATGAACATCTTGTCTATGATACTGGGATTTACTTTTATAGCAAAAAAGTTTCATTCACTTAAGGATATTCTTGCTTTGGGACTATATTACTTTTAAGTGTTCCCTCATAAAAGGAGTTGGAATTATTTCCAAACATATGCCCCTATTCTTATGCAACTCTACCAGTGATGGTGATGCATCTTGCCTGTGAACTCTATGATTTAATGGTAAGCATGGCCTAATGCATGTTGTGTCGCTAAGACTTACTTTATCTAATCGTATTGATCAGATTAAAGCATAACCATTGTAATTCTAGCATCATACATGATTATCCTATTAATAGCCTTATTTAATTTAAGTCCCAATTTCCAAGATAGTTAGGTTAAGACAAGTCAACCTTTAAACCTTAAGATTATACTTGCATTGGGTATGCACATACATGATATATGAATTCCTCTTACTCGATCTCTTATTCTCTGTCATTTTTTTCTAATTTCTGTTTTAAATTCTTCCCATGGTGTGTTGCTCTATATATGGTCCACCAGGCACTGGGAAGACCTTGCAAAGGTTGTAGTACATCATACTACCACGACCTTCATATGGGTAGCTGGTGGTGGTATAATGATAGTAAAATAGTTGAGCACTTATGGAGTATCGTTACTCAGTAATTTACTTATTTTAACGTAAAATATCGTCAAAGTTTTGATGATTTGCAGGTAAAGAAGCATTCTGGAAACAACTTAATCTTATTTTCAAATCAAATGCCTAATAGTAATAAGTAGTTTATGCCTTGCAATACTTGATTATGACAAAATTTTGTATTTTTTTGTATTCTAGCACAATAGCTGACCTCTTCTCTCCCAAAGTAGATCATTACTTGAGTTTATAAAAATGTTTTCTGGAATTATGTTTTATGGTACCAAATAGCCTGATACAATTCATCAATTTATACTTGAAACCCATCATA